GAAAGGGGGCTCTGGAACAGGAAAGCAGTGAGAGGCTGTGCTGGCATGAGTACCTCCTCTATACAAACCTTGCAGAAAGGCTGCTGTGGTGCAGAGGATCTCTTTCAAGTCTTCAACGCTCTGAACAAGGTGCAAGGAGGCTTCCTCAGCAGGCACTCGCCATGCCTTGAGGAGGGAGAGGAGTTCATTCTGCCCCTCACTGCAGTGAGCTCTCCGCAGGTTCTGTGAATACACAGAGGAAAGAGAGCAGGGAATGCTGAACCCAGGGCATGGGGACACAGAGGTCCCATCAAACCCTGCAACGGTGCTCTCTGCACACAGGAGAAGTGTCCTATCACCCCCTCATTTCAGCTGCAACCTACTAACTGCAGTGATTCCTGCCTGGCCCAGGGCAGCACCTCTCTACCTCAGAGCAAGGTGCACCTTGAGGAGCTCCTGGCAAGGCAGATCTAAGTGTTGTTGGAGGGCTTTCAAAAACGTGGGACCCCTCAGCAGCCTCACAATCAGAAGGGAAGGCTCCTCTGCATCCCACTGCTCACGCCTTACTCCCTACAGAGGCTGCAAATCCACCTGCAACCCCTTTCCAGCCTGTAAAAGTCCCTTCTCTGGCATCTAGAGGTCCAGAGCCCTGCCAGGCAGATGTTCTGGGACACATTAAGGCACTCAGGGCCATGGGGCTATGCCAGTACACCAGAGAGAGGATTACTCACACTGACTGGGCAGTGCCAATGGTTTCAGGTCTCCAAATGGCACAGCAACATTTTGCAGAGTGGGGCTTATGAAAAACATCTCTCCTCCTCCAGCAAACCCGCATGTATTTATATCTCTGCAGATACTCCAGTGCAGGTAAGTGGGAGCTGCACAGCATCCACCAGTTACCTCAGCATTGTTCAGGAGGTGGAAGAGGCCGGCAGTGCTTTCCAGTCGGCTGTCTGCCAGCCAGCATGCTGCTTGCAGGGCCCCCAGTCGGTGCAAAGGTGCCTGCAGCTCCTCTGCAGTTACGACCTGCAGCACCTTTTGCCACAGCTCCTCGGTGCTAAGATCCTGCCCACAGGCCCCACAAGCCTCCAGAACTGAAAACAAACAAACAACAAACCCAGCCATGAGAGACAAGTTTGGGTCCTGTAACAGACACCTTCCCAAAAGGGAGATAAAGCCTCAAGCAAGCACTGGCTTCTCATAGCAATGGAAGGAATAGGGTTACAGGGCTTCCCCAGCCTCAGCAGCACAGAAACCAAGCTCTCAGACAGTGCAGTTAACAGCAGCACGCTCAGGAGATGACACACAGTTTAGAGCTACAACTTCAGCTCTGCTGAGTCCTCCTGAGGCCACTTGCCTCAGGACAAGCATGTGCCAACACTGCAGATTTCCTTCTGACCTGCCGCCTGTTTCAGTGAGTTTTCTTTGAATCCAGTACACCATAATTAAAGAAAACACTCATTTTCTACTGTCACTAAAATATTGCTAGGGACTTAGAATCTTACGCCTTGAAAACTCTTGTTTCTCTTAAAACCTCTGGCCCATCCGTGCAGGCAGCAGCAGGCCAACAGCCACCCCAGCTTCTGCCCTTCCCTGCTCACAGCCCCCCTCCTCCGACCAGTCACACATCTCCAAAGCGCAGAGGATCCTATCCTCGCCCCAAGGAGCTCCTGCAAAGAGAATGATCTCCTTACCCCTGAGGAGACTCTGGTGTATTTCTTCTGCTTCTCCTTCGATAGCAGAGTCAGACGTTCTCATAGTAAAAAGCAAGGAGTTGTAGAGGACAGTAAGCTCCAGAGGCATCGTGGGGAAGGTGGCTGGCAGTCCTGCGATCACAAGAAGAAACTGAGCTGGCTAGGAAAAACCCAACCACCACCATAGTAAGGTGTCAACACCCAGCTTCGTGACAAAATAAGTTTCCTAGCAAGCATTTTTCTGTTGTTGTGGTGAGATTTAACAGCTCAGGAACTCCACTATCTAGAGAGACAGCAGCTGCCACCTCTCCAGGGGTTGACACTGCTTTAGACATCCATTCTGCAGCTATCCAGGTGCTGCAGTTCTCCAGGAGTGAGACTCTTCTACTCTTCCACAAAAGCATCAATAGCCTACCCACTTCCAAAACACACCTACCCTTTTCCACAAGCTTCTCATGCTGCGTCTCTCTCCCTCTCACCACGCTTCCTCTATAACACAGATATGGCAGGGAGCCCCTTCCCCAGCTTCCCAGGACAAAGGTTTTCTCATCTTTTCCAGAAACCCCATAGCTCTGCCCACATCCTCCAGCAAGATTAGGAAGCAGTTGGGGCTGGACCTTAATCCCTTCGCAGGTCTAGTTTAGCTCAGGAACGTTTCATACCCCTTCCCCTCAGCTATTTGTTTCCAGCAGGGGAATGCCGGAGCTGCAGTTCGGTAAACAATACTCGGGAACCGGTGCTTC